GTTATTTCTGAGCTCGGCTTTCAATTGTGACCAGTGGATTTGAAAAATAAGCGTGATAGTTTGATAAAAAATAAATCGATAGCCTAATCATGGATTCGCTGTTGTCTGCAACCTGATCTCCGGCGAAAGGCTTCTGCACACAAAAAAGAAAAGCCCTGCATGAACACGCAGCATAATGAAGCGAGTGGATTTTCCTGATGGATCTCATATCTATAAGATGATGTCTGTGTGCGAGGATTACGAACGTATGCTCCTTTTCTATGTGCGTTCCTCTCTTAACACGAAAGTGAAAGTAACCTACGCATTCGGGATAGTTTAAAAGAATTCGGGTCTAATCAGGTCCATTTGGGAAAAGCATGTTTATTTTAAATTACCCGAGGCCGCTAATACCGAACCCGACCCGTGTCCGAGGTACTCGCTGAAGTTTTGGACCCGAACCCGCTCGGGTCTCGGGGCGGACCTCGGGTTTTCGGATCCAAGTGGACCCGTGAAGACCTCTAGTGTACACACACTTCCAACACACAGTTATGTTCAAACAACATGTAAAGTGAATTTTGCATCCGATGACCCCTTTAACTACACCAAACAGGTGTATTTAATAACTAATGTTTAGAGTCAGAGCTTGAAGATGATTGGACAGTCTTGTAGCACTCAAAAAAGACTTTAGTCACAGCAGACACCAGATTTAACTTTGCTTTAGTGCATTAATGTTTATGGTGTTACAAGTTGTGCATGTACATTAAGGCTGCACGATAAATTGTATATTTATTTTTTAATTAATTTTATTTATATATTTAGAATACATTTTTATTTATATACAAAAACAACAACATAAAAAAAGATACATAATACTACATTATTAAAATCCATATATAATGTTATAAATTGCATATTTTTAAATTATATTGATGTTTATCACACACACACACACATATATTTGGTATTACACATATATAATTGTATATACATTTATTAGAATAAATTAATTTATTCTATATTATATCTATTTATTACACATATACATTAGTTATATATTATACATAATTTATATATATTATAAGATACATATAATTTGTTATACATTGTATACTTTTATTAATTTTATTTATATATTTATAATACATTTTTATTTAATTTTAATTAATTAAATTAATTAATTTATGCATTTAGCATACATTTATTAGAATAAATTAATTTATTCTATATTATATCTATTTATTACACATATACATTAGTTATATATTATACATAATTTATATATATTATAAGATACATATAATTTGTTATACATTGTATACTTTTATTAATTTTATTTATATATTTATAATACATTTTTATTTAATTTTAATTAATTAAATTAATAAATTTATGCATTTAGCAGCGACTTGCATTGCATTCAGGCTATACATTTTTTACCAGTATGTGTGTTCCCTGGGAATCGAACCCACGGCCTTTTGCGCTGCTAACGCAATGCTCTACCACTGAGCCACAGGAACATTCATTTTAGAAACAACAAAACAGAAGAAACATAAAATACCATCTTATTTAAAAAGGCATATAAACACAACAGTGCAACATGAACTCTTCACCTTATTTCTGTTCATATTTGGTGTCTATTGTGACTAAAGTCTGAATCACAGCGAATTAGTAGCAACAACAGTAGTTCTGTTCTCATGGTTACCTGATCAGCATCTTCTTTCATCTTCAAACATACATACAGAGACACATGAACAATACATCATTCATAAACTACAGACCAGAATCACTTAAAGCAATGAGTCGCTTCAGCAGAAACAGCAGCCGTGTGTGAGGATCATGAGATCTCAATTACAGGCTGAGCTTCACGCTGGTGCAGAGGACAAACATCAGACAACATCGCGTCACGCCACACTCACCATCTTGATGTAGGAGTTCTCAGCCAACAGAGAGTAGTTGGACATGGGCTGAAACGAGATGGAGGCTGGATAAGTACAGGATAAAGTGCTTTTACTTCCTGTTTTAGTGACACTGAGTGTGATTGGCTGACCGGCAGAGGCTCCTCTTCCTCCACGGTGCCGTTCTGCACTGAATCCTCCCCTCCGGCGTCACCGTGATGCTGATGATGGTGGTGGTGTCGCTTCTTCTTTTTCTTCTCCTTCTCCTCCTTTTCTTTCTTCTGCTTTTTCTTCTTGTGTTTAGAGGATTTCTGAACAGGAAACCAATAGACAGTTGGTTTAATCTGGTTTCAATTGAGCACAACAATTTGTTTTGGTATTCTTCTGCTGATTTTTCAGCAAAAACCAGTTCCCAGATTAATCAAAGCACCACTACCATTCCTTGCCTAAACATACATAAAATCAGGAACAGGTCATGTGACCTGCTCATCCCATAAAGCACTGCAAATTACTAAATTGTATCAGCAATACCAGTACAATATAGAGCTCACTGACAATAAGTTTATTGCAATATATTTTGTTATTTTTATGTTAAATTAAGAATAAAGGTATATTTTATGTACTTCATTTCTAATGTGCATACACACATATACAGTTTTTAAAAATGTTAATATTTTTAGTTATTTATTTAGTTAAATATAAATAATTTTTGTTTTTTTGTTTAAGATGTATAATTTGTTATTTATACGTTTAAAAGAGTAAACATTTTAATTGTTTAATTTTTAATTTAAATGTTATTTAAAAGGCATATATATATGTTTAATTCAAAAGTATGTCTATTATTAAACTATGTATAGTTTTAAAATTTTTTAATATTTTATTTATTTATTTTAATGCAAATAATTAATATTTTTGTATAAAGATGTACAATTTATTGTTATTTATTCAATGTTTAATGTAATTAAACAGTATAATTGTTTAATGTTTAATTAAAATGTGTCATTTATGTTTCCTTAAAATGCAAATATTTATTGTTGATTAAAGTTTAATTTAAATGTATGTAATGTTTATATACACACACAGTTTTATTACACATTGTTACAAACATGTTCATTTTAATATTTACTTAATGTTTAATTTAAATCCGTTTTTATGTTTATTTTAAAAGCACTGTTTTTTTATAAAAATAGTGTTATTTAATGATCATTGTGTGTTTATTTTAAAAATGTCTAAAGATGAACACAGCACTGCCAGTGGAACAAACAGAAAACCAGTTTTAAAAACAAACAAAAACAAAACACAACAACACAAAACAAAACAAAAACCAAAGCAGCAGTTGTGTAAGCCCCACCGTGTCCTCTGGCTCTGTGTCTTTAGGTTCATCAGGTTCAGATTCTGGGGCGGTCGCAGAGCTGGTGTCCACAGCAGCAGCAGCAGACGAGGGCGCCGTCACCTCCTGCAAACAAACACACATTAAAACACACACTTCCTGCTGCTTTCAAAACCGTCCAGAGACCGAAGAATGATCAGCTACACTATGAAGCATGCAGAATTGAACAATATCATGATCAAGAAGAAGAAATGCTGATTTGATGTTGTTGAATTGTCACATTGGGAGAAAATGGTGAAGAAGTGCTGAACCTGCAGTGAGAAAGTGATATTTTGGCTTTTGAAGTCTGTTGTTCGCATTAAGAGGAACTGAACTATGATATTTGGGCAGATTAAAAAAAAAAAAAGTACATCAAGTCCTTTCTGTCTCAGGTGACCTACATTCGGTTCATGAGGCAAATACTGAGCTGTTTGACTGGAACCGCAAGAACTGTCAAGAGTCCTGGCTGTTTATGATGACAAAAAAACAACAACGATCATACAAGAGAAGCGTCCCACATCAGTGAGTAAGACACATTTACACCTCTGCACGTGCACACATGCATCCTGAACTAAATCAAGCAAACGCTAACACACACAAATGTGCCAGACCTGTGAAAAACAGCGAAAAATAAGACGGGTGAGACAAAGAGATTGGCACGTCAAGAACAGCGAGAGTTCGGAGGAGGGAAAACACAAAACAAACGCTCATTAACAACAGGACAGACCAGAGGGGGAGGAGAGGGAGAGAGCGTGAGGGACCGGACCTGGGCGGCGGGGGGAACAGGAGCGCTAGAGAGCCAGAAATCCAGATCCGAGGCCTAGAAGAGAAAAGGCAGGGTGGGGAAAGTGAGTCCAGTCCTGTTTGACTCGAATAGAACCCCAAAACAAACACTCGGACAACCTCAGAAAAACAAAACGAGCACATATTCCATCAATATGTCAGTTACTGCCACTTCAATAGCCGTTCATTTAACATAACGCAGTTTTATAATTTTTATGGTATATTTCAGTTAAATTAATTTACGAATGTATACGATGTAAATGTGGACATACTTCGTTTTCATTTAAGCAAATATAAATATTTAGGTTAAAACTGCGTCCCCTGGTGGTATAGATTTTAAGAAAGCAGGAATTTTCATAGTCGAATATCATTAAAATGAATCAATTCATCGTTAAGGTTAAAATCGCAAGACATACATGGAAGAAAGCTATTAATATTATTTTTTTCATACAACAATTTAAATAAGTGCGCAAAACCCTAATAATTATTTATATATATATGTGGCATATGAGTCCCTCAAAGTCTAATTTCATTGTGCTCATGTTACACAGCAAAATAATAGTAGCCTATTGAATGCAGTGTGTCACAGTAAAAGCCCCCATGCCACTTCAAGATTCCTGACCATAATTCTGAGATTTAAATTTTTGAATATATACAAATATACAGAAAAAGTACCATATAAATTTAGGTAGAAAACGACTTTCTACCAAAGAAAACGACAAGAAAACAAAGTCGTAAAAAAACGACTTTCTACCAAAACAAAAACAAAAAATCTAAAATGAAAAAAATATATATTTGTAAAATTTTTCAATATTTCCAACTTTGGACTAGTGTCAAATAATAGCACGCATTAGTACAGAGCATAACCTAATAATAATTAGGTTTAAGGTTTAATGGATTCAATTAACAACAATTAATAATCCATTAATCATTAACACCTCTAAATTAGGCAGTATAGGCTGCAGGCATTTGGCCATAAAACAGATCTTTTCATGCTCTTTCTCTGTTTAACTGTTGATTTAATCTTTGAATACAATGATCAAATTTGGGCTGCCACAAATGACAATCTGTTTCAACAAAGTAATGGAATATTCAAAGTATAAACAAAGCAAACGGTAAGTGTTAGTGATGGAGAGGCTATAAGACGAGCTTTTTTTAAAGATAATACTTTACTATCAGTCCAAAACCAATCGTACCTCAGCAGATGTGGATGTGGGCGGGGCTGCCGCCTCTTTGGTCTCCTCTGATTGGACGGCCTCTTCTGGCTGGGACTCCAGAAGCTCCTCCTCCACTTTGTGTTTCTTCTTTTTCTTCTTTTCCTCTTTGCTCCTCTGCAAAACACCCAAACCACCATTTGAATATTAATGAAGTAGAATTACATTAAACAACAATATTCGCTCTTAACTGCAGATAACTGCCATCTCACCTTCCTGTCCTTCTCCTTGTCTTTCTTCTTCTCTTTCTTCTCTTTACCGCTCTTCTTCTTGGTCTCCTGCGGGACGCTCTCGCTGTCTCTGTCCTCGGCAGGGCTCTTCAGCAACTCTGGACGGTGGGTCCTCACCGGAAGCTTCTCGCTGTCTGCAAGCGGCCTGGAAAGAATAAGAGAAACAGAGATTAGATGGACAGAAAGAGGAGGAGATAGTGAATAGGAGAGAGAACCAGTCACATGGATGCTAGGAAAGGCTTCAGCTTATTCAATATACGGGTCAAAAGTCTAAAGGCCTGTTCGCAACAAGTCTGATGTGACAGGGTCACAAAAGTTTAACATTTCATCAACAAATATATTTCGCTGCACCAAAACTATTCACACCTTTGGTCTTACAACTACCGATCAATGAATGCGGCATAAAAAAGTAATAATTTAATAAATGAACATGATGTCTTTATAATGCTTTGCACTCTGTGGTTGTATACAACAACATTCATTAAGTGCAACCAGTGTAGTTTATTTTACAAACAAAGGAAATAGTTATTTTTAATCACTCAAAGCACTCAATTCATCTCAAACTTGTGTTACTAATCTGAACTGGTCTAACAAACGAAAATATAAACACAAACAAAAGTATAAAATCCAAACCAAACAAAACCGAAAACAAAGCAAAACAAAAATCAAAACAAAACACAAAAACAAAAACGAAGACAAAACTGATCTAGCATCCAAACAAAACAAAAAACAAATAACTGAAGTGTAACCCTCTTAACTAGGTGTGAAGGAGTTTGCTTTGCTTTACTTGAAATTTTGTGGTGCATTTGCTTTGTGTCAGAAATTGAGATTTGGTGTGAAGAGGCCTTCAAAGCAGTACAATATTCCTGTCCAACAACAAGCTGAAAAAAAAGCTGAGGGGTTTAAAATCTGTGCTCACGAGTATCAAGGGAAAAGTCAAAGCCAGGCAAGGCTGTCAATGCTGACACTATATACTATAATACACTAACATTAAAAAGATTGGGGTCAGTAAGATTTTTATTTTTTTGGTTAAAGATTAACCCTTTTATTTAGCCAGGATGCATTAAATTGATTAAAACTGCCAGTAAAGACATTTAATGTTACAAAAGAATTTGATTTCAAACGAATGCCGTTTTTTTGGGGGTAAAAACATGACTTCTATAAAAATATAAAGTCGTACAACAGTTTTCAACATTGTTAATAATAAGAAATGTTTCTTGAGCAGCAAATAAGTATATTAGGATGATTTCTGAAGGATCATGTGACACTGAAGACTGGAGTAATGATGCTGAAAATTCAGCTGCCATTTTGAATTGTAATAATATTTCACAGTTTTTACTGTATTTTTAATCAAATAAATGCAGCCTTGGAAAATAAAGTGAATACAGTCTTACCAACCCCAAACTTTATAACCAAAGTGTTTAAGTTGTAGCAATATGACCACAGCCAAAACCCAACTAGCAGGTGAGCTGATCAGTCATGCACAATGTGTTCTTGACAAATATTATTCGGTCCAACAGTGACATACTGCAATTTCCAGGAAAAACAGGTGTGGTAATTGGGCAGTTGATTCCACTGGGTCACGTGACCGCAGAAAGTGCTTACCTTGAGCTAAAACCAGATAGCAGACTGTCAGGAGGGCAGATGCGTGCGTGCGTGAGGGAGAGAGAGAGAGATGGAGAGAGACAGAAGCAGAAAGCAGTGTGTGTGTGAGAGAGTGAAGAAGATACAGGAGAACTGGAGAAAGCTCCTCGATAACAGAACATGGAAAACCCAACAGATGCAAAAGACAACTAGATTTATTTTGCATCTGTATGAACAGAAATTCTAGACTCATAAACCTGCTAAAGGTGTTTTAACGAATGACAGTGGCAAGAAGCACGAAATTGAAAACAATATCTGGAGGGAAAACAGTGATGATACGGAAAATAAAGTGGTAATTGATGTCCTCAGATCAACAGAGAGAGTCTCAGACCAAACATCAGACACAAAACAACAAGAACGTGGAGAATTTCCTGAATTGGATATCAAGGAATGAGAGTTTAACACGTATAGCTAGTGATGCACTGAAATTTCAAAAACTGAGAGAGAAAAAAAAGCAAGTTCAAAAAACAGTTATCGTTATTGTATTTTCGCTTCTCTGATTTGACTGTATCAACATCAATTTCAAGCACACAACACAATACATAAAAATGGTTCAGCTGAAAAGAAATGTTTCTTGAGCAGCAAATAAGTATATTAGGATGATTTCTGAAGGATCATGTGACACTGAAGACTGGAGTAATGATGCTGAAAATTCAGCTGCCATTTTGAATTGTAATAATATTTCACAGTTTTTACTGTATTTTTAATCAAATAAATGCAGCCTTGGAAAATAAAGTGAATACAGTCTTACCAACCCCAAACTTTATAACCAAAGTGTTTAAGTTGTAGCAATATGACCACAGCCAAAACCCAACTAGCAGGTGAGCTGATCAGTCATGCACAATGTGTTCTTGACAAATATTATTCGGTCCAACAGTGACATACTGCAATTTCCAGGAAAAACAGGTGTGGTAATTGGGCAGTTGATTCCACTGGGTCACGTGACCGCAGAAAGTGCTTACCTTGAGCTAAAACCAGATAGCAGACTGTCAGGAGGGCAGATGCGTGCGTGCGTGAGGGAGAGAGAGAGAGATGGAGAGAGACAGAAGCAGAAAGCAGTGTGTGTGTGAGAGAGTGAAGAAGATACAGGAGAACTGGAGAAAGCTCCTCGATAACAGAACATGGAAAACCCAACAGATGCAAAAGACAACTAGATTTATTTTGCATCTGTATGAACAGAAATTCTAGACTCATAAACCTGCTAAAGGTGTTTTAACGAATGACAGTGGCAAGAAGCACGAAATTGAAAACAATATCTGGAGGGAAAACAGTGATGATACGGAAAATAAAGTGGTAATTGATGTCCTCAGATCAACAGAGAGAGTCTCAGACCAAACATCAGACACAAAACAACAAGAACGTGGAGAATTTCCTGAATTGGATATCAAGGAATGAGAGTTTAACACGTATAGCTAGTGATGCACTGAAATTTCAAAAACTGAGAGAGAAAAAAAAGCAAGTTCAAAAAACAGTTATCGTTATTGTATTTTCGCTTCTCTGATTTGACTGTATCAACATCAATTTCAAGCACACAACACAATACATAAAAATGGTTCAGCTGAAATATCAAGAGACGACTTTATTGCTGCTATTTAATTTATCAGCATAAAGAGTTACATTTCCAAATATTTAAATACCGAAACTAAATACCAGATTCAGTAATTGGCTAATTGGAAAAACATTGTGGATTATTGCTGCAGAACTTTACTACAACTGGTTTAAACTTATTAGAATAAAGAGAACGAAACATAAATTTCAGTTTTGCTAAAAAATTCATTTCTGCACATCACAATATGTAGCACATGTATGAACTGTAGGTGGCGACAATGTGGTACATACTTGTCCAGATCGATGTCTAGAGCTTTATGAGGGTCATTGGGATCCTTATCGTCATCGTCACTTGGTAAGGCATTCTGGGAACCAAGACACACCAACATTATTGTGTATAGTTTTGTGGACAACAGTTTTAAGCACTTCCGAAATAACAGCTGCCCACCTCTGGCATTTCCTCTGTGACTATGTCCACCTGGTGAGCGGGCGCTATGTCTTCCTCGCTCTCAGGACCTGAATCCGCCTTCCTCTCTTTCCCTCGCTTCTCCCGCTTTTTCTTTTTCTCCTTCTTTCTCTCAGCCTTCTCCTTCTGCCGGCGCTCCTCCTCCAGCTTCAGGTATTGGTCGGACATGGGCATCCCTGGACCAAAAAAAAAGACCGTAAGTTCTAAGATTAATACGTTTTTTTTTATTCTATATGAAGATGAAGCAGTTTGTATTCAAAGTGGATTACATTTTAGGGATTGTAGACTTGCTCACCTGGGACTTTGAGAGGCACACTAAGGTCGATCTGCACCACCGGAATGTGTTCTACACCTGGCGCGTCGTACACCTGCAATTGCGGACACGTTCGAGAAGTAGTTATGGGAGAAACTTAGTGATTCATAGCTCTGAATCATTTGAAACAATTGTTTTGTAAAATGATTCACTGTTTTGAAGCATTTGAAACACCACAGGCTGACGGCGGCTTCGGGTAAAAATGGTAATTGCAAAAAAAAAAAAAAACAGTCCAAAGAAATATGAAATAGGAACAGATTAAGCACCGTTTACAAGTGATAACAGGCCAAAACAGTTAGATGGATTTTGATGTGAGAGGACAACAGGGGATGGAATTTTTCACTGGAGGAAGTGTTATGGATTACGGACTCATATTTTGGCCAGAAACGACATCTTAATGATGGATTTGTTTCTTACAAACATGCAGCTTTTCAATTCAAAAGACATTAACTGATGGACTGGAGTCGTGTGGATTATTGTGATGTTTTATCAGCTGTTTGGACTCTCATTCTGACGGCACCCATTCACTGCAGAGGATCCACTGGTGAGCAAGTGATGTAATGCTAAATTTCTCCAAATCTGTTCTGATGAAGAAACTATTTCCTCTACATCTTGGATGGCCTGAGGGCGAGTACATTTAAATTTTTATGTGAACTATTCCTTCTAACGAAAAAAAATTACATTTTCCAAATAACAATCTTTGTTTTGCTTCTATTTAAATGACAATTTGTTTACATCAAACCACTGTTTTAATTTATTAATTTCTGTGGTTATCACATCCAAAAGCTGATGTAAATTGTCCCTGGAACAGAAAATATTTGTGTCATCAGCAAATAAAATAAATTTTAGTGTATCTGATACTCTGCACATGCCATTGATATAGATTATAAACTGTTTGGGACCTAAGACCGATCCCTGTGGTACATCACAAGTTATGTTTATGTAGATTTATGTTCATTAATTTCTATAAATTGTTGCCAATTTCTTTTAAAAAAACACTGTTTGAAACAGTATGATGCAACAAAGACTCAACTGCTGAATTGGATAACGTATGATACAAGTTTAGAGCTGCTAATCAAACAAAAGTTTAATAAATGGTTCATATGGTGTTTCGAAAGTGGTCATCACTAGTTTCGGCCTGAGGATTATGTGATCACATAAATCATTTGACTGTGTACCTTCTGAGATGATGGTGAGGCCTTGATGTAGAACGGGTTATTGGCCTGTTCCTGCTTTCTGACTTCCCTCCTCTGTGTAAAATCGGACAAGTGTATTAAGACGACTGTATTTACACATTTTCTGAAGGTCTGAAGGACAGCATGGACTTACCCTGGCCAACTCTTTCTCATCAACCTCGGTGTGTCTTGATCTGGAATGCTTGGGTTCTTCTTTAGCGAACACTGCTTTGGGCTTCTCGTCCTCAGACTCGCTCTCTGACGGAGGCTCATTGATCCAGGCATCGAGATCCAGACTAGAGGGGGAAAACAACAGCTTAAACATCTATTTCTATTGATACCCTTGAGATAGTCAATAAATGACTCACCCTTCTGGTATAGGCACTTTCTTCTGGGCCTTGGGGGCCACAGGATTGAGTTCTCCGGCGAAGAGAGCCGTCACTTCCTCGGCCACTTCCACGTTCTTCTGCTGTAGCTTCTGGATGTACTTCACCAGCTGGAGGATGCAGGACGCCTGCGGGGGAACATCATGGTTAACACTGTGTGATTGTGTGTGTGTGTCCGTTTCAAAGCCTAATAAACCATATTATTAGAATCGCAACTGATGAAAATATTGATGTTAGCGTATTGCTAAGCTAATGAAGTCAGGCTTCATTAGCTTAGCTAATGAATATTCAATATGGCTGGTTTTAGCTGGTTTTCCAGCCTGGTCATAGCTGGTCAACAGGCTGGTTTTAGAGGGCTTTTGACCACTTCTTTAGCTGGTCTCAAAGACTCAACAGACCATATCAGACCCCACTGTATGGTTTGCTGGTCTTAGTGGGTTTAAGCTGGAATTAGCTGGTTTTAGCTGGTCAGTCAGCTGGTCTCCAAGCCTGACCAACTATGACCAGGCTGGACAACCAGCTAAAACCAGTCAACTAGTATTTTAGAACATCTCTAGCTTGCGGCTAACATGATTCTACATGTTGCTGACATGCTTCTGCTATGTTGTTGCCATGTTTTAATACACTGCTAACATGTCCAAGCATGCTGCTTGCATATTTCTAACATTTCCAGCAGGTTTTTAACATGTTAACATGTTGCTAGCATTCTGTTAACATGAATTATCTCACTGCTACCATGTTTTTACATGTATTAACACACTGCTAACATGTTTTAACATGTTGTTAACATGTTTTGAATTAATGCTAACATGCTTTAGCACATTGCCATTTTGATTGTCACGACACACTAGAAGGATACTTGTGACGCCATCTTACATTTGGCCAAAACGGGACATTCAATGTCGCAATGAAACAGAAGTATCAGGAGATCTTTTCTTCCATATTGTGAAGGATTTTGAGATTTCATATCATATCATTTTGTGGCCTAGTGTCTGGAATAGCCTTCACTGCCAGCTCACCCCTTACGGAAATTAACCATGTAACCATCCTATAGTAAAAGTGTAGTAACTATGCTTTTTTTCACCATTTTGATTAACATTTGTATAACCACAGTTTTACTACAAATAGCATGGTTAAAATATGGTTAGTGTAGCCATGGTTAATTTGTTGTTACCATGTTTTAACTACAGTAACCATGTTTTTCTTTTAGTTTTATTTGTAGTAAAACCATGGTTAATTTAAGTAAGGGACGAAATGTCAGAATAAAGCTTCTCCTCACCCTCTCCTGCACTTCCAGGTTGTCACGACACACTAGAAGGATACTTGTGACGCCATCTTACATTTGGCCAAAACGGGACATTCAATGTCGCAATGAAACAGAAGTATCAGGAGATCTTTTCTTCCATATTGTGAAGGATTTTGAGATTTCATATCATATCATTTTGTGGCCTAGTGTCTGGAATAGCCTTCACTGCCAGCTCACCCCTTACGGAAATTAACCATGTAACCATCCTATAGTAAAAGTGTAGTAACTATGCTTTTTTTCACCATTTTGATTAACATTTGTATAACCACAGTTTTACTACAAATAGCATGGTTAAAATATGGTTAGTGTAGCCATGGTTAATTTGTGGTTACCATGTTTTAACTACAGTAACCATGTTTTTCTTTTAGTTTTATTTGTAGTAAAACCATGGTTAATTTAAGTAAGGGACGAGATGTCAGAATAAAGCTTCTCCTCACCCTCTCCTGCACTTCCAGGTTGGCACTCTGGACGAACAGCGGCAGTCTGTCTATAAGCAGCTGGCTGGTCTCCTGCGCAGCCTGGCTCTCCGTCTCCCCTTCATGCTTCTGCAGCACCGTCGCAAACAGCTTGGCGGCATTTTGTACGTACACCGCCTGGATGTGACCGGGCAGGGTGGCCACTTTGGGTCTCAGCATGGCCTCCAGTGTCTGCATGGGGTCTTCCAGATGCCTGTGAGGAAAAGGCTGTTAGCATGCTGTTATATGGTTGAACCTCGAACCTTTCCAGATCGTCATCACGTACTCGGAGAACTCTCCGCAGATCCATGCGGCGGCGTAGAGAACCTCGCAGATCCCGTTGCGCTGCGTGTTGCCGGTCAGCAGGTGTGCGTTGTCCAGCAGAGTGGCCATCTGAGCCACGGCGAAGCCTCGGATGGCTTTGACGCGGATGGCGACGTCCAGCATCTGAGAGGCGATTAGGTGGCCGTGCCTTGTGCCCTCCAGACGAGTCAGTTCGACCAGGATACTGATGTACCTGGAAGACAGAGATGTTTGTTTTTGCATTTAAAAATGCAAGACGGTGCAATGGGGGAAAAAACTAAAGGTCTTAAGACTATGTTTTTTTCTTTTTAAGCTGAGCTTATTTTAACTTGAGCCATGTCATGCATGAGAAGGCTCAAGATGCACCAAATGGATGTCTTTGACCGTTGCACTCGCATGTTTACATAGAAAATCAACAGAAATTCTATGTGAACAGCCCCTAAGTGTGTACTTGGCTGTTGTTTAGTCTTACCACTCAAAGTTGGTGATATACTGGAAGTTGCTCTGGCTGCAGATGTCGATGATCTTGGTGAGCAGCTCATCTCGGTAAGTGGTGCCTTCTGCTTTGTCCACATGCAGCATGAGCTTCTTCACAATCTCCATCAGGTTCTTCTTCGAAACCTAGTTAACCGCATTTTCCACCACATTTTAGTAACCTCATATATTTGAGCTCCTCACAACTTCAAGACTTCAGAGGAATGTTTAAATGTTGTACACACCATGCCGTAGAGCAGATCCAGGGCTCTCAGCCGGATGGACTCATCTTTGTCGTCCAAACACTGCAGGATCAGGTCCTTGTGCGACTGCACAGACTTGGGATGCGTCTTTAAGATCTTGGACATGGCCAGAAGACCCAAGTACTTCACTGCAAAAAAATCACAGCGTCTAAGTGACTCTTGCATTGAAGCGTAGTCTCTCTGTTTGCTAACTTTAGCTATATTGCATTTATGCTAATTGACGTTTTGTCCAGTTCTTCTATTTAGACAAGTCGGCATGCAACGGAAGTAGCAACAGATATTTCTGTCCATATTGCGAAGTACATCCGAATGAAAAAGAAAAGAAATACTGGTTTTCCCCCCAAAAATTGGGACTTGGTTCAATCCATTGGTAGTTGATTGAATGGAGGCAAATCTGAACGCGAGCTTGCAGGCAATTGTAAGAAAGAGGCGGAGTCTGAATGGACAAAATGATTGAAGAAATCATGTATACATCATCCAAGAGACGCCTAGCATTTTACCAGAAAAATTAAGTCATTTTGTTTTAAAATAAACTGCACAGACTTGGGATGCGTCTTTAAGATCTTGGACATGGCCAGAAGACCCAAGTACTTCACTGCAAAAAAAATCACAGCGTCTAAGTGACTCTTGCATTGAAGCGTAGTCTCTGTTTGCTAACTTTAGCTATATTGCATTTATGCTAATTGACGTTTTGTCCAGTTCTTCTATTTAGACAAGTCGGCATGCAACGGAAGTAGCAACAGATATTTCTGTCCATATTGCGAAGTACATCCGAATGAAAAAGAAAAGAAATACTGGTTTTCCCCCAAAAAATTGGGACTTGGTTCAATCCATTGGTAGTTGATTGGATGGAGGCAAATCTGAACGCGAGCTTGCAGGCAATTGTAAGAAAGAGGCGGAGTCTGAATGGACAAAATGATTGGAGAAATCATGTATACATCATCCAAGCCTAGCATTTTACCAGAAAAATTAAGTCATTTTGTTTTAAAATAAGGTCAAAACAAATTATATACTGTATAACCAATGTGAACTTCCATTTCGTGCCGACTTTAAAATCTGCTGAATTTAAAGCCTAGTACTAAATGTACAGTATTTTAGAAATGAAAATAAGGATCATCAGCAAATAAAATAAATTTTAGTATATCTGATACTCTGCACATGCCATTGATATAGATTATAAACGGTTTGGGACCTATGACCGATCCCTGCGGTACACCACAAGTTATGTTTATGTAGATTTATGTTCATTAATTTCTATAAATTGTTGCCAATTTCTTTAATAAAAACCAAGGTTTGAAACAGTATGATGCAACAGAATTGCTTATCATGGCGGAGATACTGTTGACAAGAACCAAGAACAAATTTGCTTGATATGCAATGCTCAGGTGAAATTCTATAGTAATACTACAAATCTGCAGAATCATTTGACATCACCCATAAGGCGCCATGATTTCCGCAATGAATGAATGGCGGATGGCGCAGACGCACTGTTTTGTTTACTACACATACTAAAGTGCGGACGTGTTTTCAGCCTCTGTCGTCTCACTATATGATAATATGAACACGAATATCATCTCCAGCTGCTCTGAGAGTCACTTCATTAGCATTTTACCATTTCATTTGAGAAAACTACCGTCATATCACATACACAGCAGCTGCAAGT